GCGACGGAACCGCGTCTCTGTGCCAGCCTCCTGGCGAAGGCTCATGACGCACGATCATCACCCTTCAGGCCTGTGCCTTGGTGCATGTGTTCCTCCAAATGTCCCAAACATTCTGTGCCCTACCCCGGAGAGGAAGGCATGTCTTTCCTTCTCTGTCCTGGCATTTCTGCACCTCCTTCATCTTAAAAGGGCGGCTTCATTAGAGAATATGGTTGCCCTGGTTATCATCATAGTTGGCACTTTGGTCCCAGCCATAGTGATAGGTCTGTTTTCTGGATCTGGAGCGTTTTGGTAGAAAAGGAGTGGAAAGGTGACAAATGACTTAGTTTTGGAAGTTAGGTTTGGGTGCCTTTGGGATTTCCAGGTAGACGTACCCAGAGGGTGACTGAGAGCTTGGGAGTGAAGAGAGTTTAGAGGTGAAATGAAAAGAGGGCCTTCCCCCAGAAATATCTCCTAATTCCTTTTTTATAACTTACAAAATTTTTTTTTTTTTTCAAATACATTTCATTGATTTTTCACAGAGAGGAAGGGAGAGAGATAGAGAGTTAGAAACATCGATGAGAGAGAAACATCGATCAGCTGCCTCCTGCACATCTCCCACTGGGGATGTGCCCGCAACCCAGGCACACGCCCTTGACCGGAATCGAACCCGGGACCCCTCAGTCCGCAGGCCGACGCTCCATCCACTGAGCCAAACCGGTTCTGGCTATAACTTACAAAATTTTTTAAATTGCCCAGCCAGTATGCTCAGTGGTTGAGCCTCGACCTATGAAACAGGAGGTCATGGTTTGATTCTTGGTCAGGGCACATGCATGGGTTGCAGGCTTGGTCCCCAGTAGGGGGCGTGCAGGAGGCAGCCGATCAGTGATTCTCTCTCATCACTGATGTTTCTATCTCTCCCTCTGCCTCTCTGAAATCAACAACAAAAAATTTTTTTAAAATTTATTGATTGATTTGAGAGAGAAACATCCATTTATTATTTCACCTATTTATGCATTCATTGGTTGCTCCTTGTATGTGCCCTGACTGGGGATCAAACCCGAAATGTTGGATGGTCAGCAGGACACTTTAACAATTGAGCTACCTGGCCAGTTGTGTTAGGGTTAGCCCCAACCCTAACATCTTCTAATTCTTTGAGCCAAAATCTCCATTGGCTTACCTTAGATCAAATAACCTTAGGCATTACACTCTGCCAATGGGATGGTAGGCTGGTGGAAAACAGTTTGGCAGCATATATTAGGAGCCTTAAAAATGTTTATTCCTCCTTGACTCAACATTTCTTATCCCAAGAAAAGCAGCCAAAGTCCAGACAAAGTTTTATGTACAATGATATTTGTCGTGGCCTTATTTACAATATTAAAAAAAAATTTTAAAGGAAACTTCCGGAACATGCAAAGGTAGGGGTTTTTACCAAAGCAATGATTCTCAAGACTATGCCAAAGAAGCCAGACTCCCGGGGACACCTCAGGGCGTGAGATGAGAGACCAGGGCCAGGCAGAGTGAGACACCCTGTCCTGGCCTCGGTGGGGCAGTGTGGAGCTGGTTGTAGTCTGCATATTAACCACGGTAGGGAGTGGGGGCGGCCTTGTGGAGAGAGGAAACCCCTTACACTCCCCTAAAATCTCTTCCTGGCGGGGACCAAGGGCGGAGGGTGGGAGCGGTACCTGGGTATAGGCAATAAAGGGTGTATTAGCTTTCTATTGCCAAGTAATAATTTATCACAGACTTAGTGCTTAAAACATCACCCATTTATTAGTCCACAGTTCTGTGGGTCAGAAGTCTGAGCACAGCATGTCTGGGTTCTCCACCCAGCAAGGCTGAAGTCAAGGTATTGGCCAAGCTGCTTTCCTTTCTAGGGGCTTGTTCCACAGCCAGAGAAACTCCGTCTTTAAAGGGCCAGGGCTTTAGTCAGGTCCACTCAGATAATGTCCCTTTTCTTCTTTTTAAATATATATATGTATTACTGATTTCAGAGAGGAAGAGAATAGGAATATCGATGATGAGGGATGCCTCATCATTGATAAGCTGCCTTCTGCACGACCTACACTGGGGATCAATCCTCAACCACTGAGCCACACGGGCCAGGCTTGCTTTCTTTTGACTAATGTATTTAATCAGTTTATTAGTTATATCTTCTTTCCTAATCAGGCAAAAAAAAAAAATCATAGATATCCCTTATGTTCTAACGTCACTTTGTTGCTTTTTGAACATCAGAAATGTACTGCATGTGGTATGGCTTTCTGATAAAGAAAACACCTTGTTTGATGTATTGCACGAAAAAGTATAATTGCCAGTTTGCTGATTGGATTTACTTCCAAACATTGAAATTTTTGTTTCAAATGGACATTAAGGAATGTTTCAGGTCTTAGTTTTTACCCACTTAGCTCAAGTTAGGCAACGGTTTGGGAAGAGAATGAACTGTCAACATTATGGTGAAGCAAAGTGAGTACACAGAAACCTTTGTTATGAGTCATCAGTTTCTCTGAATAATGACGTATCTGCAACAAGCAAGCGCTCACCCCTTATTAATACCTGAGGCTGGGCTCTTCCCACTCACTCTGTGCAGACCTCAGCTGCCTAATTGGAGAGACCAGTGCGAAATGGAAATGATTAAGATTTTCAGGATGACAGCAGGGCATTGAACCAAATGGGGGGCCCTTCTGAGCGTGGGGTCCGGTGCAGCTGCACAAGTTGCACACCCATGAAGCCGCTGTGCTCACAGTCATTCCTGGCTAATGGCAGGGGGGCCTTTTGCTGGAAGCCAGCCCTGGGCCAGGACCACATGGGCCGGCTGCCCTCCGCTTGACTGGGCTTCTCAGCTGCTCTGTTCCTGCTCCCTGGGTCTTTATTAAAACCTCACCCCGTCCTGAGGCCGGGTGCTGCCCCGGAGACGGGAGGGGTGAGCTAGGAAACGCCCTGGCCTGGCTGGGTTCTCGCTCAGGTGGGGCTGGGTGTGGGCTGTGACAACTGACCTCGGGCTGCCCTTCCGTGCTTGCTGAAGAGGGAAGCGGCCAGGCGCAGGACCCGCCGGCCGACGAAAGTCTGTCCCGCAGCGATAACAATGGTAGCATTATTGAAGCTGTGGTTTTGGTGGTTCTTTTTTTAAAAAATTCTGTGTAGTCATCCTTTCTTGCACAGAACTGCCCTTGTCTTTTGCAGCTTATCCTTTAAGTCCATCTTTTGGTGGTACCTGCTGCCTGGCAGCACAGGGTCCGATCGGCGTGTTGATTCCACTGATGTTGCCTGTGGATCACGAATGGGGGTTTGTGGGCCTCGTGCAGTCTTCCAGTCCTCCCACCAGGCACCAGGCACCAGGCCACACGGCCCATGGGTCAGTGAAAATGTGGGCAGGTGCACCTGGGGCTGCTTTCCAGGTAAGCTCCACAGCCCGCCTCTGCCCATTAAGCAGAGTTCACTGTTCTGTGCACAGTTGGTAGCAGAGGCACATGACACCATCAACCTTCCCGGTTCCCTTAGTGCAGTGATGGAGAACCTTTTGAGCTCGGCGTGTCAGCATTTTGAAAAACCCTAACTTAACTCTGGCGCCGTGTCACATAGAGAAATGTTTTGATATTTGCAACCATAGTAAAACAAAGACTTATATTTTTGATATTTATTTTATATATTGAAATGCCATTTAACAAAGAAAAATCAACCCAAAAAATGAGTTCACGTGTCACCTCTGACACGCGTGTCATAGGTTCGCCATCACTGCCTTAGCGGCTCTTACCTGGCCCGGGCAATCTTTGATAAATGGAAGTCTCAGGCGCCTTGGCAGCCATCTCCCTGCAGCCACAAGGCCCAGTGATACTTAATGAGAAACGTAGAGATGCCTGGAGATGGTTGTCAAACACTCTTGAAAACTAACGTGCCAGCTGGTCAGTGCCTTAGGATACAAAGGCAAAGAAGTCTGGAGGTCATTTGCCAGAAAGATTATGATAAGGAGCGTCAGACGAGCGGAACCCTGTGCAGGCAGTGCAGTCTATGCATCATCATCAGAACTTGTCTTCACGTAACAGTTTCTGGCCAGTGTTTTTTGTTTTGAACACGTTAAGCGCCCAGCCTGTTTTGTCTTCCGGACAGGAAGTATAGTGTCAGTCACCGGTGACTGACTGGGCGCTTAACGTGTTAATATATTTTTATTTATTTCAGAGAGGAAGGGAGAGAGAGAAAGAAACATCGATGATGAGAGAGAATCATTGATCAGCTGCCTCCTTCATGCTCCGCACTGGGGATCGAGCCCACAACTCAGGAATGTGCCCCGACCGGGAATCGAACTGTGACCTCCTGGTTCATAGGTCACGCTCAACCTCCGAGCCACACCAGCCCGGCTGGCTACTGTTTTTTGCTAAGACCAAGAGTAGTCAAGGCTCCGTGGTTTTACCCCAGGGACTGTGACTTGTAACCTCAAGATTACTTATGCTTGTTGTAGGAAACTTCACTGTCAGAATGTTTGTTATAGAAAATCAGGTTTGTTCACGTAAAGGTATGTGTTCTCTTTGTCCTAGGATTTCATGGTATTGTTTTAATTAACTCTATCCACTGGACTAAGTTGTGTTAATTCTTTTACTGGCTAGGAAAACTATTTCTAGAGAGTGGTTCTCAAACCCAACTAAAGACATCAGAATTCTCTGGAGTGGGCACTGGCACTGATATTTTTTTAAAGCTCACAGCCGATTCCAGGATTGAGAATCACTATTTAAATTTTCTTCAAAAAAGAAAATGGTAAAAAAAAGAAAAGAAAAAAAAGAAAATGGTGTTTATAATAGATTTGTTTTTATTTTATTTATATATTTTTAAACAAACTGAGGACACTTGAAAAAGTGCCCTTTTATTTTTAATTTTTATTTATGTGTTTATTTTTATTAATTTCAGAGAGAAAGGGAGAGGGAGAAAGAGAGAAACATCAATGGTGAGAGAGAGTCATTGATCAACTGCCCCCTGCATGCCCTCTACTAGGGATTGAGCCCACAACCCAGGCAATGTGCCCTGACCGGGAATCAAACCGTGACCTCCTGGTTCATAGGTCGACGCTCAACCACTGAGTCATGCCGGCCGGGCACAGATTGGTTTTTAAAATACATACAAAATCTTGCTATTCTACCTGGATTTTCCATTTAGTTTTTCTACCTCCTCCTCAGCGTTCAGCAGTGACAGATCACTTTTGTTTTTAGTGTCCTATTTCATTCACCCCAATAATGTGAACTGAGCACTTACTATGTGCAGGCCACAGAACCAGGCCAAGATGGCCTAACTCTGCCTTCAGGGAGCCACCGGGTGAGACCAGCATGTAAATGGATCCATTACAACACAGTAGGGAGGATATATAAGGAGCATGACTGGAGCCTAGAGGTAGGCAAGGGGTTGTCAGGGAGTGCTTCCTGGAAGAGGTGACTCCCAAAGTGAATCTTAAAGTATGACCAGGCACAGCAGCCCTCCGCCTTTCAAATTTACTGATCTGCTGAGGGCTGTGAGTTGAGAACAATTCAGGCAGGAAAGCTCATGTATCGGGTTGTTGAAAGAGAGGTTACTTCTAAGGGAGGGCCTGGGGGATTGGTGCATGAAGGCCAGGGCCTTGGGACAGTGTCCGGCGGAGTTTCACTCCAGCTCTGCTCCAAGGGCGAGGCTGCTGAAAGACTGACCTTGGCGAAATGTCAGGTTGCGGTGTTTTTTGCCCAAACTATGATATTCCTACTTCTTCCCTAGATTGTGCTTTTCCTCGGACTGTAGGGGACTGTTTATCTTGTTTGATTCCCTGGAAACTCTAGGAGGAAGGGGTTAGACAAGGAAACTTGCCCAAGGCTACCCAATGGGCCAAGATTTGAATCCCTTATGAATCTAATCTGAATTCTGGTGAAGGTCAGGGTCAGGAATGCAGGTACACATCGAACATCTGGGCTGGAAATGATCTGAGGTCAGAGGGGAGCTATGCTATGCCAGGGATTCACCCTCTGTATGTCTTCTGCAAAGTGATATCGCTAGAATGCAACCATGGGTAGAGGTCTCTCCATCGCCCGGGACTGGCTTCATCGTTTATTCATCAACTATTTATTGAGCGGGTACCATCTGCGAGGCCCACTGCGAGGGGCAAGCAGGCTCTGGCATGGGGACATGTGCCCTCGAGGAGGTAAGCCACACACACAGGGGAGAGAGCTTTAATCCTCAAGGCAGCAGAGAGTAATGTGTCAGGAATGGAGCACAGTGAGTTTTCAAGGACAAGTGGGCGGGGCCGTTTCAGGGACACCCAGGGGCCAAAATGTCACCCTAACCCTGCAAGGACCCAGCGCTTTCAGGTGGAACAAGAATGAAAAGAGAGGTTTTCAGGGGCCGAGTTGGAGGTGGGAAGGAAAACGGCCCCTCCTTCGGCCTCTGGGCATGGCTTCTCCTCAATTTCTATCCATTTGTGATGCCAGTGGCTGCTGGTCTGGTTTCTGCCGGCAGCCCCAGCACTGGCTTTGGGTGGCTCTTTGACATGGGCTGATGGAGCCACCATGGTCCTTGGCCAAGCTCGACCCCGGTCAGCGCCAGGAAGCCGGACACCGGCTGAGGTACGACCAGCGTGTGCCGGGCCCTGGGCACCTTAGATGGTTTCTAGGAGGGGAGAAGCTCCCAGCTGCTGAAGGGAAATGTCTTCGCTCCTCCCCTCCGCATCCTTCCTGGAGAGGCCCTTGGCTCTGTGGAATGAGAAGGCAAATGGAACACTGACGCGGAAAGAAAGTGGAAGGGAGGTGGTGAGGGGCAGGGCATGTGTGCGTGATGATCGAGGGTGTTTGTGTCACGCACGAGACGTGTCTCCACTGTCCCTTCTGCCCCGTCCTGGCTCCACTATGAGGTCTCACGGTGGCAGAGGCTCGCCTGGTTAGTAAGAGCCAGACTTGGAAAAGCTGCTGGTCAAAGAGTTTTCCAAAGAGGACCCAACACCAGACAGTCAACCAAGGCCACCCCGCTGGGCCGGACTCAGCGTGGACAGGGCACAGCAGAGACCTGGGCACTGGGCATGCCAGGCCCTTCCTACGTTGCCCCAGGTGGAGAGGCAACCAGCCCAGACATATTTCTTTTTTCTTTATAGATTTAGGGAGAGGAAGGGAGTAGGGTAGAGATAGAAACATCGATGACAGAGAAACATCAATCGCTGCCTCCTGCACGCCCCCTACTGGGGATCAAGCCTGCAACCTGGGCTTGTGCCCTGACTGGGAATTGAACCTGTGACCTCTTGGTTCATAGGTTGACGCTCAACCACTGAGCCACACGGGCCGGGCTACAGCGGATTCTTCTTTCTATTGCACCATTCGCCGTTGGGTCTGTTCTTGTGAAAGCTAAGCCTCCACCGATGGAGGAGCTGGGCATGGGGACACCCAGCTCTCGCTCAGCGGTGACGTTTTAGCAGCAGCCACAGGACACTCTGCCCTCAGTTGTTTTGGGGACCACAGCCTGTTTGTTCGCCCCCACCCCGCTGTGCCCAGAGGCCTCTCACCTCCTCTCCATCACCTCAATGGTCTCCACCAGGGGTGTGTTGCGGGTCTCAGCCAGGAAGCAGACGGTCAGCCCGGCCAGGATCGAGGTGGCCCCGAAGGCCACAGGTGGCAGGATGGCACTGAACTCCCCGATCGTGGTGACCAGGGGCGCAGCCAGCCCCCCGAGACGGGCGTTGACCGAGACGAAGCCCATCCCCATCTGCCTGTGCGAGGAATGTGGACAGGTCCGTGGCCGTGGCCTAGACCCCCAGAGGGCGGGGGTGCTGGGGGACGGAGCAGGAAGGAGGGGGGACCTGCCTTGGCAAGCCCAGCAGGTGTCAGCCAGGAGCACCAGGGGCTCCCAGTTTGGGGCAGGTGCTCTCCGCCTCCCCCTACAGACCCACCTGATCTCCGTGGGGTACAGCTCTCCCGTGAATAAGTACACGCAGATGAAGGAGCTGGCCAGGCAGCCTTTGCCCAGCGCTGCCTGGGCTGTGCGCAGGGTCTGCATATCTGCAGGGCGGACAGGCTGTGGGAGGGGTGGCTCAGAGCCCAAGAGGGAGCAGGGAGGCAGAGGAGGTGGGGGTTGGGGTTAGGGTGGGGGTGGGGGTGAGGGCCATGGGATGGGGTGCTGTGGGGGAGGAGACAGGAAAGCATAGGGCGTGGGGTGGGCACAGCCGGGGCGGGCAGGGCACCCAGAACCTGGAGGGGGTGAATCAGGGTTTCCACCACCTCACGTCCCCACCTGGGACCCAGAGTCCCCACACGGCCCCTCTCTGACTTCTGCCTCCTTCCCCCCTTCTCTCCACCAGTCACCAGGTCCTGCTGGGGAGCCGGGACAAGCTTTGGAGTTGGGCTCAGGTTCAAATCCCGGCTCTGACCCAGATGGGTGACCCTGGTCACTGTCAGGCAACCTCTCTGAGCCTGCCCGTCCTCTGAAGATGAGGAAAACGCAGCGCCTGCTTCGCGGGCTTGTCCTGAGGTTGACAGGACGCCATGAGCGCAGGTGCTAGCGCCCATCACATGCTTGCTGTTACCGTTATCACACGCTCACCATGCTGCTGCTCACAAAAGCTCAGCCCCAGTGCCCATGCCCAGCACGGGCAGTGGGCAGGGAAATGGTGGCACATCCTTTGTGGCCACTCCGGCTGCACACTGCAAGTGGAGGGGATAGTTTATCAAACGCCCACACCTGGGTCCCGCCCGTCTCTGTGTTTGCAAAGCCTCTTGGGGCTGGGCTCAAGTTGGTAATTTTTTTAAAGGTCCCCAGGAGAGTCTGATGGGCAGCCAAGGTTGAAAATCACCCGTCTAGATGGGATATTACACAGCAATATAAAATTAGGGCCATGAAGCATTTGTCCTAACATGGAAAAGTGTTTATGTTGCAGCATAACATGGGAAAGCACGTTTCTAGACAACATACAATGTGAAAAGGGATACATTCTATATAATATATACACACATATACACACACACATAATCCTTTTTACATATGTATATAATAGTATCTTGATTATATCAAATACAAAATCAACAAATAGGAAAAAAGATTGGAAGAAATTTGTCCAAATGCCAATAGTAATAATCGATCCATTTTGTAAGGAGGAACTGAAGCACAGAGAAGTCAGACAGCCTGCCACGGTTGTCACAGCGAGCCCTCGGCTCAGCACACGCTCTCGGACTGGGATACCCAACCCTGGCTTCTCGCTGGAATCACTGGACAGCCTTCTGAATCCTAAGGGTTGGGGTCCCCCTCCTGAGGCTAACTGCACTGGCCTGGGGCCCCTGGGCACTGGGAGTTTTCAAAGGTCTCCAGGCCGGTTTGCAGACCACTGTTCCAGGGCCAGCGGCTGAGGGTCACACTTGAACTTCTCAGCCCTGGAAATGCTGTCTGGCCAGGCTCCAGGTGGACACACACCAGCCAGCCCTTTGGTTGGTTTGATGCATCTGTCTAACATCCCCGACAAGATGGGAAATGCCCTGAGGGCATTTACAACCAGGAGCTGACCTTAGGCACCAAGTGCTCACTGAAACCCCTGCTGATGGACAGTCACTTTCTTCCCAGATCTCTCTCTTCCTTGTTCCCTTGTTGTACCTGTTGCCCACCAGACCCCAGACCCCGGAGGCTCCCAGGCGGTAATGGCAGAAGTCCGCGGCTCACCTTCTGGCACAAACATGTTGGCGATCACCATGAGCCCAGCCAGGATGAGGAAGGAGGCCACTGTGGCTCGGCGGCCCACGTAAATCATGGTGGTGGTGGCCACCAGCATGGCCGGGATGTCTATGACCCCGAACAGGACCTGAACCAGGTAGACGCTGAGCCCAAACTTCTGCAGGTCCATGGCCAGGCCGTAGTAAGCCATGGAGTTGGAGAACCTGGGAGAGGCAGCAGAGCAGGCTGCTGGGGAAGGTCCCAGCACAGGGGGCGCCTACGAGAACAGACTCTCCCCCTGAACGTCTCCCGGGCCAAGGTGGGTTCACAGGTCAACTCTCCGTCCTCACGAGGACCTCAGGGGCAGGGGCACAAGGGGGAAACTGAGGCACAGGAGGCCGGTCGGCCTGAGCCCAGCTGGCGACCTTACCGACAGTGCCTGGTCTGCTCCAGAGCTCAGGCAGTGCATGGCCTGCAGCCCACGCTTCCTCAATATCAACCCCTATTATCTTTATGTCCAGGACACCCAGTCAGGCAAATTTTATTTTATTTGTTTTAAATCAGCCCCTTCCCTCGGCATTTGCTAGCTTCCAGTCTGTGCTAACAGGTAGGGGTTGCCTTCGTATTTTTATCCATTGCACATCTTTATGCCTATCTACGTATCTGTCAGGAGGTTCTTCCTGCTCACCTGGCGAACTCTTAACTGTCTTTGATTCTATTTATTTATTTATATAATCCTCACTCGAGGATATTTTTTCATTGATTTTTAGAGAGAGTGGAAGACAGAGAGAAATATTGATGTGAGAGAAACACAGGGATTGGTTGCCTCCTGCACGTGCCCTGACCACGGCCCCGGCTGGGGAGGAGCCTGCAACCGAGGTACATGCCCTTGACCAGAATCGAACAAGCGGACATTATCCACTGAGCCAAACCGGCTATTAACTGTCTTTGCAAACCCACCTAAATGCCATCCCCTGTGTGAAGCCCTCGGCAGCCCCAAGTAAGGGAACCGTTATTGGGACACTTGTCATACCTCACGGAAATTACTGTTTTCCTGTCTGTCCCCTTCTGGACCCACAAGTGGTTTTCCAAAGTGGTTCCGTCCCAAGACCCCCTGGAGAGCCCGAGGGCAGAGCAGAATGAGACATGGTGCCCAGATGCCTCCAATAGGTGTCCACCCAGGTGAGACGCGCTGCCCAGATGTGGGGCCCCAGGGTCAGCATGGCTGTCTCCTCCATGGCCACATCGCAGCACCGGCGGAGGCCAAAGGGCCCGGAGGAAGGGTGTGGAGCAGGATCGGATTCACAAGGCTCACCTGCTCGTTGCATTAAGCATATTTAAGAGTTAGTCAGTGGCCCGGCTGGCGTGGCTCAGTGGTTGAGTGTCAACCTCTAAACCAGGAAGTCATGGTTCGTTTCCCGGTCAGAGCACATGCCCACGTTGCAGGCTCGATCCCCGTATCATGCAGGAGGAAGCTGATCAATAATTCTCTCTCATCATTAATGTTTCTCTCTCTCTCTCTCTCTTTTCCTTTCTCTCTGAAATCAATAAAAAAATATTTTTAAAAAATAGTCAGTGGGGACAAAAGTTATGTCTCTAACTTGGGTCAAAGTCTTGGGCATGAGCCCGTCACCTACCAGACCACCATGAGACAGCACGTGACCTTGCGGATGGCCGGGGTTCGGAAGAGGTCCAGGACGGAGGTGGAAGTGCGGACGCTCATGAACTCACTCTGGATGTAGGAGCTCACCACCTGGGCCAGGAAAGCGCGATCAGGGGGCTGGAGGGACCTGAGAACATGTTTCTCTGCTGGGTATCCCTTCACCCACGGGGAGGAGGGCCAAGGCCAAAGGCCCTGGCAGGGTGGCTGGTCCTACGCTCTCTCTGTCTTGGGGCTGCTGGCCCTCCGCTGGCTGTTTCCGGGGATTTGGGAGGAAGCCGAGGCTCCCACGAGTCCCACGGCTCCTGCGCTGCCTGCTGCTTAGGCTGAAGCGGCCACCTGTGTTCCAGCGGGGCCCCCACGCCCCGTCCTCGGTGGAGACTCTGAGACAGGCGTGGCCAATGCTGAAGAGCAGGGGTTCTGAGTGGTTCTGCCCCTTTCCATGGTGTGTTCTTAGGCAAATTACCTGACCCACCCAAACTCCATTTTCCTCTTCAGCAAAAGTGAGACATTAAATGAGGTCACGTAGCCTGGCCAGCGTGGCTCAGTGGTTAAGCGTTGACCTATGAACCAGGAGGTCACGGTTCGATTCCCGGTCAGGGCACATGCCTGGGGTTTCGGGCTCGATCCCTAGTGTGGGGTGTGCAGGAGGCAGCCGATCAATGATTCTCTCTCATCATTGATGTTTCTATCTCTCTCTCCTTCTCCCTTCCTCTCTGAAATCAATAAAAATATATTTAAAAGATAAAAAAAAATGAGGTCATGTATGTAAAAAGGCCTTAGCATACATAGTGCCTAGCATAGGGCTCGATACATGGTACTTATTTATAATAAATGGTACTTTTATGATCAATTCTTCAATAATTTTACTTCATGATCGCTATTTTAATTTTTTCATTTTGTCATTTTGTTGACATTTTGGCTGGGTGTCAGTGTGAATGGCAATCTCCCCATTATACAGTCGGGTAGTCGGACGGACAAAGCGGCTGACATTTTTATCCCAGACCGCACCGCCATTCAATGGTCAGCACCTTTGCTGCACAGCCTCTTGCCGCTCTGTTTACTCCCAGCCTCTTCACCTGGAGGGTGGGTCAGTCCCGGGGAGCTACTGCGTAAATCCTGGCACATCAGGAGGCCACCAGCGACCGCAAACCGTTCCTGCCCTTCCTCCCGCCCACCCGCCTACCTCCTGGGTCAGCCTCTCCCCTTCCTCCTTCCTCCCGTTCATGGCGGCCACCTTCCGCAGGTTCTGCACAGCTCGCTGGGACTTGCCGTGGAGGAGGAGCCATCGGGACGACTCTGGCAGCCACCTGAGGCCAGGAGGAGGATGGAGAGTGACCAGGGCTGAGTGGGACTCGCTCTTCCCCAAACGCAAACACGGCTTCATTCACCTTCTTTCAGGCCTTAAGGTGAAATGCCCTGCCGGCCGCAGAGCCAGGACTTCACAACACACCACACAGGGGCGCACTGAGGACACTGAGCCTGCTGGGGGCTGGGGACCGGGACAGGTCGGTTTTGAATCTGGGTCTGACCCCAGTGTCTGGCCTTGGACCCCCCTTGGCGGTGCCTCAGGTCCCCTCCTACAAAATGCCGGGAGGTGGTTATGAGACACAAAGGAGTTGAAAAGGCAAAAGCACTCAGATTGTTCTGGAACCCAGGCCAAGGTCGGGGATTTTTCCGGAGCTTCCCCATAGCCATGCACATACTCGGGAGACCGAGGTCCCACGGCCCCGCCTTTCTTCGCATCGCCCACCACCACACCCAGCAGGTCCCAGTCACTGCACACCCCAGGCCGCCAGAGGGACAGGTCGGCCACACAGGGGCACCCTCCCCCACCCCCCACCCCACCCACTCTGCTCAAGACGTACCAGGAATAGAGGGAAAAGATGAGGAAAGGAACAGAGACGGCAAACTGCAGCCAGCGCCAGGGCCGGACCAGGTACGCCACTCCGGCCAGGATGAGCTGCCCCAGGGTGAAGGAGAAGCCCAGCAGGACGCCCGCCACGGTCCGGCCCCGGGTGGGCATCCACTCCACAACTGCGGAGAGAACACGCAGGCTCAGCCACGCTCACCCGGAGGCTGCTTAGTTCACCCGCCCCCGCTGTGGTCGTCGAGAGGAACTCAGAGGCCCGCTGAGACAGGCCAAGGCACCCCTCCTCACTCCGTGCACTCGGCGGAATTCCAGGTGGACCTAAGCCCCAAATTAAACAGCAAAACCTCAAACATAGTAGAAGAAATCATGATAGGTTGTTTTTTCAATCTTAGAGTCAGGAAAGGCTTTTCTAAGAATATCACAAAACCCAGAAGCAATAAAAGGAAAGATCAGTAAACTCAACTTCATAAAAATTGATAGATCCTCCCTTCCCCCAACTGGTGGGTGGAGTATGACGTAACCTGCAGCCCGGAAATACCTAAGTGACTAACCATGCACCTTATATGGACTATACATTGGACCACCAATCCACACCTGCCAAATCCCCTAAGCCCTTGTCCTATATGGACAATGCAGTAAGCCGCCAATCAGTGTGCGCCGAGTACACTAAGCCCCCACCCCTTCCCATTCCGCCCCTCAAAAGGCGTGCCCACCCCTGCACGTGCTGCTGTCCTCCCCTGCGAGACAGCCCGGGAGGTCCTTCTCCTCTAATAAAGCCTGTAGTCCTGGTTTTAGGCCTCCGTCTGATCTTTCAAAAATAAGAAGTGTCTGCATTAAAAAGACAAACAGCCCTAGCGGGTTTGGCTCAGTGGATAGAGCATTGGCCTGCGAACTGAAAGGTCACAGGTTCGATTCAGATCAAGGGCACATGCCCAGGTTGTGGGCTCGATCCCCAGGAGCGGGCTTGCAAGAGGCAGCCAGTCAATGATTCTCTCTCATCATTGATGTTTCTATCTTCTCTCCTTCTCCCTTCCTCTCTGAAATAAATAAAAATATATTTAAAAAAATAAATAAAAAGATAAACAACAGCAAAACCCACCATACGCAAAGTCATAACACCAGCAAAAAAAAAAATGACAAAGGAAAAAATTGCAACTCAACAGATAAAGGGTAAATTTCCCTAAAATTGGAAAAATTCTCACAAATCAGTAGAAAAACAACCAAAACAAACAGAAAAACAGGCAAAGGACATGAACAGTTGAAAGAAAAGGAAATACAATGATTCTTATTTTCATGATTCTTTTTGTAAATAGTAAAATGTGCAAACAGCCTACATTTTACCAGCACATCCCAGGGGGCTGGTAAAGAAATCATGGCGCCACCATCAATGATGAGTCAGCACCTTTGCAGCCTAGGTGAACCCCAGCCTTTTTGGATCCACATAATCTCCGCGCTGCCTGCAGCCCTAGGACCATGGTCTCGCCTCACCTCTGCACCCCCACACTGAGAGCCTGGCACACAGTAGGTGTTTAGTAAGTGGTTATTGTTGACTAATTCACACGGGAAATAAACCCAACTCTCTCAGCTCACTCACTGACGGCCAATCACAACCCAGGCCCATGGTCAAGGCCGGCGGGGCTGCTGCTGGGACCCCAGCCGTCTCAGGGCCCTGCTGGGCGGCTCTGAGTGGAGGTCACTGGGTGAGAATCCCACACAAGGACACAGGTAAGATGTCTGACGATGGGGCTGCCGTGCCGCCTTCCACGAGCCCCCTCCCGGCCCCTCCCCGGCTGGACTCACCCAGAGAGAGGGAGTTGAGGATGATGCCAGAGAAGGTCATGCCCATCAGGAACCGGAAGACGCAGTAGGCGCTGAAGGAGCTGAAGTACGCCGTGGCGGCCCCCGACACTGCCAGCTGCAGGTACGACCAGACCAGGGGGCCCTTGCGGCCCAGCCTGAGCCGGGCCATGGCACGGCGTTAGGGTTCCCCGCAGAGACTGTTGGAGGAGGGTGAACGAAGCTCTCCCGCCCCCTGCCACCCAAAGCTGCCCCTCCAGACCAGAACCCTCGTCCTGGGGCCCTGGCACTGGTGGTGGAGGCTGGCCCGGGAGGGAGCAGCACAGGGGGTTGAAAACTGACAATGAAGAATGTGCTCCCTCCTTCATTCCTTCACTTGAGGAGTATTTCTGGCCCCACTACCAAGCCAGCTCATGCCAGGGCTGGGGATTCTGCAAAGGCCCAGAGGCAGGAGCAGTGGGTGGCGGTGAGCTCTTGGTGGGGCCTGGCAGGGGGAGCGGGGCCCCAGGGTCAAGTCTTCATTTAAACTAATCACACTGGGGAGGCCATGCTGGGGGGGCTTGTCACACCACAGAGGGGTCCAAGGCCAGGGGAGCAGGGTTATCGCACCCCCATTTGTGAGGGTCCAGGAGGGCAGCAGACCAAGCAGGGGCGGCTGCATATTCCTCTCCACACACACACCCCATGACAGACTCGCTCACTCATTCATTGTGTTGCAAAAAAGTTCATCCCCCACCTCTAAGTGACAGGCCCAGCTGGGGCTGGTGACAGATAAGACACTATGGATAAGATACTCGAACTCATATCCAGAAAGACCAGGCTGTGTGGTGTCACAGTGCCAGAGCTCCCACCGCGGGCCTGGGGCCTGCAGCGCCCTCCGGAGGGTGGGGTCTGGAGTCCAGGAGGCCCCCCAGAACCTGAACTGGCAACAGTGAGGGGCAGCGGGGAGGAGAGGAGAGGAAAGGGGGAGGCAGAGGGGAGGAAGAGACAGGAAGGAAGGAGAAAGGGGCCCAGAGAAGGAGGCGGGAGCTGACTGGCAGGGCCCCGCATCGGGTTGCGTTTCCTGCTGTCTCCCTGGAGGGGCCACAGTGGACAGTTGGGGCCGCACAGTCAGTTCTGCCTCCTCCCCGAGTGGGCCGCACGCGGGCAGAGGGAGGAGGGGAAGCACTTTCTGAAGGAACATGCAGGGGCCTTGCGGGGAGGAAAAGGCCGCGCCCCCATCGGTGCAGGAAGGGGGACAAGCACAGGCAGCCCCAGAAGGTGCTGGAGGTGGGGTGGCTGTGGGCGAGGGCCGCTTCCCTACACACTCCCTCGTGCCTTCTGGAATGGGGAGGAATGTGGATGCGTCACAGGTATGATCAATCTACACACACACACACACACACACACGCACGCACGCACGCACGCACACACACACACGCACGCACGCACACGAATGAACATTCATAAGGAAAATGAGCCAGGAGGCGAGGGGGAGGGTCCGGCCTGTGCTGGGTGGCCGGGGCCCTGGTCCCCGAAGCCTCACCTGTCCGCGAGGCTGCCGAACACGGCGGCGCCCACCAGCACCCCGGCCATGTAGACGGACTGAGCCAGGTCGCGGAGGGCGCGGGCCTCACACACCAGGTCCCACTGTGGGGGACAGGGGACGCCTCAGCCGGGGCCTGGCAGCAGCTCCCCACGCCGCCCGCCCGCCCGGCGCCCGCGCACCTCCGTCACGATGGTGGCGGGGAAGACGCTGCGGTCATAGACCCAGCCGTCCCGGCAGCTCTCGGTGGCGGCCCCGGGGGCTGAGGCGTTGGGGCTCAGGAGGGCCCACTGGGGCTCCGTGAAGCGGCGGCAGGGCTCGGGCGCCCCAAGCCGGTCCCGGGGGACGGTGGCCCGCAGCCAGGCCTCCGAGCTGTTGGCGGGGCCGCGGCAGTGGTGGCGGGGCACGGCGGCCGTGAAGTTCTGCAGGAAGTTGTGGCAGGCGAGCAGGCTGCAGGGCAGCAGCAGCAGGCCCGTGTAGATGAGCTGGAAGCGGCCCACGCCGCCCAGGGCGTCCAGCAGGTCGGTGAAGGCCATGCCTCAGGCCTGACCGAGCCCGGCCGGCAGGGCCTTATGTACAGGGGCTGGGACGCGCCCTGGGAGGTGGAAGAACAGGCCCGGGGTCAGGACCACAGATGCCCTGTGCCCACAGCTCAGAGGGTCCGGTTACACCTCCCAGGCAGCCTCAGGTGTCCCCATGTCTGCAGGGCTGCCCCCTCCAGACCCTTCCTCCCGGATTCTTCAATCTCTCACCCCTCACCCCTAGAATAGTGAGCGTCCCCGAGGGCTGGCTCACAACCATCGCCCAGCTCTGCGGGCCCAGCCGCCCTGCCCGCTGCCCTCGCCGGAGGACCCCAGCGGTAAATGCTCCTTCCTCTTCCCTTTGAATGGGGTTTTGCGAGGGGCTCGGCCCCCAGATCCTCCAGCCCCATGGTGTTTCATCAAGCAAAACCCAATACAGAGAACTCGGAGCGCCTGCCCCCACTCCCCACCTGGCTCACAACCAGCCAGGCTCCCAGGAAGCGATGGGCCAAGCCCTCCTGCTGAGGACACCCAGGCCCCGAGGGCCTGGCCCAGGGACCACAAGGACCAGCGGGCCCGGGATGGCCCACTCCCGGCCCTGTGCCAGCCCATGGCGGGCCGTCTGCCATTCGGGGTTCCACCTGGGACTCCCAGCAGCTGAGGGCAGCCCCCACCCCTGGGCTCCGTCAGCCTTTGCCCGCACACACTGTCCTGGTTTGTGGCTCCCTCTACACCCCCACCACCCCCTCCCCTCAACCACTCTTATCTCTGTAAGGAAAGCCAGGCTCCCAGAGGGGCCAGAGCAGCTTACATAAGCTGCAGGTGTCTGGGTCAGAGTCCCCCCAGTAGGACCTGAAGGAGGCTCTGTGCTCTGGGGAGCTTCCTGGGGGGTCGGGATTGTGCTAAGTAGGGGTTTTGGTTTCAGCCAGAGCCTCACAGGCAGGAGCGAGCCAGGAAGGCAGGAGCTGGGCCTCCAGGGCTGCCAGGAGGGTGGGCAGGCCCAGCAGGCCACCTGCCAGGTCCCGGGGCAGGAACACAGTCCAGACACAGACACGGGGCCTTTCTCCTTTATTATTTGAGGTTTCTCTGCATGGAAACACGAGCCCCACACACACACCCAGGCCCAGGTGCCTCTGGCACCCCCATAAGTAGTATACCAGTACCAGAGTCCCCTTTAAAGTTACCGATATAAAAAAGGAGGGAGGGAGGGGAGAAGGGAGGACCTGACCACCCCCTGGGCCAGGCAGCTCCTGGTCAGCAGACAAGGCTGGGGCCCAGGCCAAGGGGCAGAGGGGGACATTGGCTTCTGCACAGGAAGGGACAGGCGTTCCAAGCCCTGGGGCGGGGGCCCGGCCGGGAGGGGGCTCTGCACACTATGATACAGACGGTGCAGAGCTAGTGGTTATGGTTAAAAGTCCGCAGGTGAGGCCAGGTGGCTGGTCTCTGGAGTGAGGGCAGAGGACACATTAAGATGCTGGGAGGCCAGGGCTGTCAGCGCCCCCAGGAGCCCCACCCTGAGGCAGGAACAAGCGAAAGCTGCCTTCCTGGCTTGGCAACGGGAGGGGCTGGGGCGTCCACCTGAGCCCATGGTCCGAGGAGCAGGGGGGCCACACAGCTCTGCCCAGAGCAGATGAACCGTGGTGGCTGGGAGGTGAGGGGACAGAGGCCACCGCCCGCTCCGAGGAAGGCACTTGCAGCTGGCGTGGCCGGGCATGGTGCGGTGGGAAGGCAGAGCTTGGCGGATGACGAGGGAGAGGAACGCAGCCTGGGGCCTCACCCCTGCTCATGCAAACATGGTCAGCTGTAGCCACTGCCGGTGGAGGGAGGGGAGAGAGGAGACGGGTCAGCGGGGGCCACTCCAAGCCCAGTCTCCCAGCCCCCTGGCTCAGGCACCACCATCTCTCAGCCCCCTGAGAGCGACCCTCTTGGGGGGTAGAGGAGGGCCACTTTCTACCTCCTCCACCCTGGGAGGCCGGCTGCTGGCTCCTGCAGAGGCTTCCAGGGGCCTGGCCTCCCTTCCCAGGACCCAACACCCCACCCCATCCTTCCAGGACTCGGGTAGCCTGGCCTTTTGGGCTGGCTCTGAGGCCACAGGCTCCAGCGCCCCCTGAGGTCCTTCCCCGACCTGGCCCAGGAGGTTCCCACCTGAAATAGGTCGAAGGTCACGACTCCATCCAGATCTGTGTCCAGAGTTTTGAAAAACCCTGTGGTTCAAGAAAAGACGACATGGGGCTGAGAATTCTGGGGGAGCATTCCTGCAGGCCTCCCCTCCTGCCTCACCCCCACCTCCCCACAGCACCCCAAGCTCTCACCCACCACAGCCATTAGAGGCTCTTCCTGCTGCCCAAGAGCCACCCCCCCACCCCCCCACACACACGCACAGGTCTCCGGGCACTCAGCCCCTGGGGCTCCACCCCGAGACCTTGGCCTCCCTGGTAGGTGCCATGCAGGGTCTACACCTGGAGGTAGGAGCTGAACGGGACACTCACGGAACATGGTCTCCAGTCGCACCAGGCAGCACACGAAGTTGTCGAAGTCCACGGCCAGGTCAGGCTCCGAGTAGCGGGTGATAATGAGCTCATACAGCTTCTTGTTGAGCTTGAAGCCTGGCCCAGGGGAGCAGGTGAGAGCCAGGGAGGCACAGCCCAGCCCCAGGGGACAGGGAGGGGACCAGGGCTGAAGGGTGAACCCTCAGGTCTCTCCAACAGAGGCTGCTCCACCTCTCCCTGCTGTGTGGCCTCGGGCCAGTCACTCTCCCTCTCTGAGCCTCACTTTCCTCTGAGCACAGTGGGAACAATAAAAGCCTCTACCCTCATAGCTGCGCCAAGGGACAAAAGTAAATGCTGCTACCACCCAGCTCAGAAGCCGTGGGGAAAGGGCAGAAGAGGGTTGTTCCCGCACCACCAACATCGCCACCATCACCACAGGGACAAGGGCCAATTGTCAGGGAGGCAGCCTGGGGCCATCTGCCTGGGGCCCCACAGGTGCCCCAGCCTCACCTGCAGACTCGATGGCCATCCGCATCTCGTAGGCGCTCATGCTGCCCGACTTGTCCAAGTCAAACTTCCGGAAGATGGACTGGGGCGGGGAGCAGAGGGTGAGGGCTCAGCCGAGACAGCCAGCCCTTCCAGTCCGCCCCAGGGTGAGGATTGTGGAGGGGAGGACGGAGGCCAAAAATGTGGGTCAGTTGCTGGGGCATGTGGGCTCCGGAGAACCAGGCCTGAGGTGGGACCTGGGCCGGCAGCCGGCAGCCCGGCCTGGCCCGGGTGCGACTAAGGCCGCAGAGGAGGGGGACGGCATTGCAGCCGGCAGGGGCCACCTACCAGGTAATTCCGGATGCGGTTCCACAGGATGTTGAACTCCACTAGGCCCAGCTTCCCGTTGCCGTCCCGCTGGGCAGCCGTTAAGGGAAAAACCCCACAGCTGAAACCCCACAGCTGGGAGAAGGGGAGACTGGCCGCAGAGAGCGCCAGGAGCAGCAGGACCCGAGGACAGTCAGCCGTGGCCAGGCCGGCCCTGCCCTCTGAACCTGGGTGGGCTGGGGAGGTGCAGAAAGAGCACCAGCCTGAGGGTCTCTCGGGGATGCGGGCCCTGCTCCACCTCTCACTTGACACAAGGCCCGTGACTCAGTTTCCGCTTCCCAATCGATGGGATGACGCCCAGGAAGGCACCGGTCCACCCACACTGCACAGAGCTCTGTCCCTTTCTCTGCACTACTCCCGGGACGAGTCCCCCAGCCCTTCCCACGCCTGCACCCCAACCGCATGCCCCGCGGCAGGATACGTCCATGAGGTTGACCATGCTGCGGCAGGACTCCAGGCTGAAGCCCTTGGTCCGCAGGTCTTTGTCTGCAAGAAAAAGCAGTTCCAGCGCCTGGCCCAGCGAGCTTCCTGGGCCTGGCCTGAGGCAGTGCCACCAGGTGGGACAGGATCAGGGAGCCACCATCCCTGTTGCCTGGCTGTAAAATCTAGCAGGTAGGGGTCTGCCTCAGGCTCCAGGGAGAGAAGAGAAGGGTTCTGAGCCTAGGGAACAGCAGGGTCGGCGGTCGGAGGTCAGAAGGGGGGCAAAGGGAAGGTTGGTGGAGCTGCCTTCAGTTGTGCACGTCGGGGGGTGAGCCAGCTCTGCTCCCAAGCCACTCGGCCTGGCCCGGGTGCATCTTCCGGGAGGAAGGGGTCCTGTATGTTGGCACTAAGGTGCTGGCAGCGGCTCAGCTTCTAATCACAGGGCACCACGCTCAGGCCCAGAGAACGTGGCCCAGCAAGACGGCGCGAGGCGTTTGGGAGGAAAGTGGGGTGAGCAGGGCTCAGGAAGGTAGCGGAAGGTTCCCCACCCACAAAGACCAAGGGGCCGGGGTCAGCTCAGCGTGGGAGCAGACGCCTGGGTTGTGGGCTTCGGCGGAAGCGGGGTGGGGTGGGGGTGGGGCAGGACGCTCACGTTTGCTGATGATCCTGTTGAGGATGGTCTGCAGCTCCTTGACGCTGATCTCCAGGTCCTGGGGGGGAAGGGAGGATGGCACCCGCCCTGGGGAGAGGCTGCCCCCCACGCCCAGAGGCCCCTCCACCACGCCCCAACCTACCTCCCCTGCCAGCTGTCTGAAGAGGGTCTTGAAGCTCTCATCAATCTCCCCTTCTGAGAGCACTTGCTGGTTGGAGAAGGGGGAGCAGGTCAGGGACCCCCCCCAGCCTGGCCCCCGCATGGGCAGCAACTGAGGCAGGGCTGGGACCCCCCGTTAGCTGCCTGTCACTTCACCTCTCTGAGCCTCGCTCTTCTCCTCTGTAAGATGGGGGTCTAGTCCCCACTCTACCCCCTGCTCAGGATTCTTGTGGCTTAAGTGAGGAGGGTGCAGTTCGGCTCAGTGATGAAGGGTGAGCTTTGGCTTCCGGCTGCGCTACCCGGAGCAAATTCCTTAACCTCTCTGAACCCGAGCTTCCTGCTGAGGGCGAGGGTGACAGCACCCTGACAGGGTTGTTGTGGAGGACACAGGGTGAGCTGGGAAAGACCTCAGCAGGGTCCCAGCAGAGAGCGAGAGACCAGGGACCCGCACCGTGATTATCACAAAGTCCTCCACACGCAAACTGTGAAGTGCTGGGCTAATGGGGAGTCAGCATTCTTCTTACGGCTCCTGCCAGAGGGGACTCTGCCATCACACCCCTGGGCGGAGGAGAGGAGCAAGGCGGGGGGGGGGGGGGGGGGCACGCACCTCGTCGGGAAGGTTGGCCTGGACCTGGTCGTCCAGCTCCCTGTGGAGGGTGGGGAGAAAGGGGCCAGTCAGGGGCAGCAGGGGGCCTGCGGGGACGGGAGGCAAGGACGGGGCCCACGACTCACTCAGTCCCGGCGCTCTTCTCCGAAAAGAAGCGCAGCACGAAGTCGCCCTCCTTGTTGGGCTCGAAGGTGGACGGCACCACCACGTACTCCCCGGGCGGCAGGCGGAAGCGGGTGCTGACCTCCCGCAGGTTGATGAACTGCTCCGATCGGGCCCGAGACGAGTTGGCCAGGAAGAAGTCGCGCTTCAGGTGCACGGCCGGCTGGCCCACCAGCTGGTGCAGGGGAAGGAGGGGGTGGGGGCTGCAGCTGCCTGCTCAGCCCACCCTGAGGAGCTGCCCCCAGACCCAGAGCCCAGGCCCCAAGTCCTGGCCAAGTGCCTGGAGAGCTGGATCAGG